ACACTGCTACTTAGAGTTGCTTTAGTTTTATTTATGAACAAATCCGGGTTTTTGTAGCACTGATGCCTGTGCCATTGAGGGGAGAACGAATGACCCTTCGCTCCCCCGCCCCCCGTGGATCAGCCTATGCATATGAAAAATAAACTGAAATATTATAAAACAAAATATGAATGTCTGTGACGAGCCAACCTGTTTACAAGCAAATCTCGAAAGAGGAACCATCAACAACGTTACTAATGGATATTTGCTGTTGGCACTTAATACCAGTGCCATGCGTTTCATTTGGAATGGATATAAGGCAGGAGGAATGAGGGGGAGGGGGAATTACGACTTTTGATTTTGAATTTTAGAAAATCTGATATAAAACTTCTTACGGGAAAAATGGGAATTTTTGAATTTTTTATAGGAAATCAAAATTCTTTCAAAAATTACAAAAATTAATCACTTCCTGATGGCGTTTTGCTGCGGATCGTCGAGCCGATTTCATTGGAGAATCGACTTCTTGCTTCCTGCTTGGCTCGCCTGACGTTTCTTGCAACTGAATTCGATGCTGATCTATCAACTGTTTCAACGCATCACGCACACTCTCGCAGCTGAAAAAATGAATGGTGCAAAAAATACCAAGGAAACCAGGCATGCTCAAAATTAGAAAAATCACATGTTAACGATAAATTTATATCAAAAACTTCGATTCTGAGCTGCATATCTCAAGCCAATACCCATGCACATGTGTCACCTTATGGACCGCTTATGAGGTCGATTACTTTCTCGCGAGTAACACTCATTAATATATGACCATCCATCAGTTGTCCGCTAGTCAAGCAACATGCTCTGCCCATCGAATTTTACTTTCTCGCATCTTCTTTTTTCAATTCTACCAAAGTTTCCCCCAATCCAACTCCTTTTGGCTGAACAGAAAGGAAGAAAATTCGTTTGTTTTTTTCAAATTTGCTACTAACAACAAACAGTGATCAATACTTTTGGTGAAGTAAGCACAGAAGACGTCCAATGTAATCGATAGCGAAGCCTGATATGCAATTCAGCTCGTCCGAATCCATATCCATCTGTTTCAATATGCAATCTGTTAGTGCTTCGCCATTCGCCCCGCTTTCATCATCCGTGATATGCAAATAGTTCAGCAACAGCGTGACAATAGATGGCATCGGCCTGCAACATCATTACATATAAATAACTCAGGCTGCAACGGGCACCAGGCTTGCCGCTGCGACCATGCGTTTTTGCACTAAACTTGTACATCACTAGCAGCAGAAATGCCCAGCGCTGTATTTTAGTACTTAGACTTATACTGCTGTTTTTTGAACTTTTCCAGCACACAAGGAAAAGAGCGTTGGTTGGGATGAAGGTGTTGCATTATGGGGTCGCATGGACCTCCAGCTTCCATGATTATCAGTTTTTTGTATGAAGTCCGGTGCTTTTTTCGGCGAATGCTCGCCCAGTTAAAAGTGCAAATTTGAAGGAAGTTCGAAGAGGATTATGAGCTCTGAAAAATGTGCTCGTTTTTGATTTTGCGATGAAACTGAATATTCGTTATGTCTGCGTGCATGGAATTTCACCTTAAACCTGAATTAAGACCAAACGTGAATACAGAATATTCCTGCCAAGTTTCAGCTTCGCAGCTTGACTGGTGAGCGGAATAGCCACCTCACTATAAATATCTTTGAAATGCCCTAAGTCCTCGCCTCTCAAAGGGATTATGTACGATGGGAATTCTGAATTCTTTTAGGTGGATTTAATCTTTAACTCAATAGAATTATCGGCTCAAGGCTACATTAACTATTTTTCCCGCATTTTTTCGTCTCTTCTCCAATCTGTGATAGATAAAGTAAAGGTAAAAAAAAACCACTTACTTTCCAACCGAAAGATCATCAGGACAAGTGAACACTGAAAGAACTGTATCCACTGGATTCGACTGCTGGTACAGATCCGGAAACAGTTTTGTCCAGTGCACTAAGGAGACCAGATTTTTTGTTGACCAATCAGGAAATTCTCTGGAGGAGAT